TTTTTTTTTTAACATTATACTCGTTTCTTCACTGGCTGTCAAGGCGTCAGAAAAAAAAAATCAGTTCTCATCTCTCGTTTTCCACCAATCACACGTCATTCAGTAAGATGTGCCTCAGAATGTCAGTTGTTTGCTCCTCTTTGTGGTCTGTGTCATGGTCATCTTAGTAGAGATGGCTCCTGTCTTGCTTTGGAAAGCGGAGATGTGATTCTACTTCCGCTCAATACTGGGGCGGATTTATTCTCGTAGACTTCAGGGTCACCGACCACCCAAAAATCCTGGACGCTTTTATTCATCACCCGGCGGCTCTCCCACCCTTCAATTTTTCTGCATAGCAACCCTTGGAAGAAAAGTTTGGACACCCCTAATGTATCGATTAGTGACTAAAATGATTTCCCCACCCCTCCTGTCTCCTTCATATCAATTTCAACTGGATTCTCTCATGCATGTATTGTGTAATGTAATGATTTGAGTTGAAGAAAGAAATATGTATGTTTGTTGTTTGCCATTATCCAGCTACGTTCTAATTTTGAGGCAATATTGCATTGAGGAGAATCTGGTTGAAAAGTTTACCTGTTGTTTTTTTGTCAGTGCAACTTTTATTTGCAGTCAAACATGGACAAAAGCCTTCATTGAAATCTCTTCTGCAGTTGACCTCTCTTCCATTTTCCTGCAAGGAAGCTCCAATATGGCAGCATTGTCGCAGGGGCGATAAGTGCTATCACTCTCCCTCTTCCTGCCCGTGTAAATGCTTTGCCATCAAACAACGGCTTCACTCCGCATGTTCTCATGAGACGGTGGGTGTGTTTTCACTTTTTTAAGAAAAAAAATCCACTTATGATTGGAGAGAGATCTGCGCAAGTGACTTTTTTGGATGCGGGGGGGAATCTGATGAGTGCGGATGGCTTGTGGCGAAGAATGGAGCGGTTGGTGAGTGAGCGGACTGAGGACTGCTTGTGCGGTGAACGAGCCCCCCAAAATGTGACTGATTTTCTATGAATGTGTGAGTGGAAGCAGCGGATGCTACAAGCGCCTCCCATCCCCTTGAACGTGGACATCTTTATGATGAGTGTGTCAAAAGATTGTTTCATTTTATTTTTTCCTTTTAATCTTTGCAAGATTTTCCACTTACTCTTAATGTGTCGACATGACAATGTAGTGTGGAGTGTTGTGCTCTTTGTAATGCTTCTATAATCTGATTTGAATGCTGTATGGTGTGTGCTGTTCCTTGTTCCTGAACTGATCTGTACGTGTGCATTTGATGTGGATGACTCGGACTGATGAAACCCTGGTGGGGGGCACACGTGTGATGTGAGAAGATGGAGCGGTGTCCTATTGGTCGCCCCTCACCCTCCCTTTTTATATAGACTATTGATGTTTGTGAGGTGTTTGGATAAAGATTTTAAATGAAGGGAACTGTCTTAATAAAGTTCATCTGAATAGATTTAGTTGATGTGACTTGCTGGGGATGAAAGAAACTAATTCAATTCACACATCTAGGGACCTTGGGCTCCGCTGGTCGAGGTCTCCATTTGAACCCCGACTGAAGGACGAAGACGGAAGTTCCAACACTTTGAGTGTGTGGCCTTCTCAGACACGGGGTAGTACCTGTCTTTTTTTGCTCACTTTTTTAGCTTGTTGAGAGAGAGCGAGAATGCGACTTTTTTCCTCTGCTTGTATGGCGTAAGAGAGATTTTGATGAAAAGCTGTGAGTGTTTGGATAAAAGGGTCTTTGCTTCCGTACTCTTTTGGTGATTGAATGACTGCCTGTCAGATGTCACATCTGTGAAACGGTCACAGTGTTACTGCACTTTTGTAGAAAGCTTACAAAGTCATCGAGTATGGCTACTTGACTAGAGCTGGTACGAATGCATCAGCAAGGCAAATGGGTTTACACTGCAGGTTCACGTGCCCAGTTCCGATTAAATGCCCATATGCGTTTGTTGTGCATTTCAGGTAACACATATTACATATGGCTTTGTTTAAACTGATTGAACACGCGGGTCAAATCTAATTTCTTCAAGTCGTGACAATTGCTTTCAATGTGGGTAACCCTCCACATGACTTCGCTGGCCGTAGTCTGTAATACCGCGTGTTTAATTTGACACACCTCATGTAGCATATTGTGTATGCGTTTGTTATCCGTCTTTCTGTAGGCATGACAATGATCTCAAATTAGGCAATTTCATTCGGAAACCCTCCATTTACACTGCCATGACATGCTAATTCTGCCACCCGACAACGAAAACAAACATTGGAATTGTGTCACTTGAACTATGCAGTGCAAATCCCGCGTTCGAGAGACCAACAACCTCAATATGTCTGAAGTGAATTTTTGACGTTTATTAGAATATTTGTGGCAAGAGTGGGGAGTAAGGACCCGTCTGTGCCTTATTCTCTGCTCTGAGTGTCTTTGTTCTTCCTCTTCTTTTTCAAAGACTTCTGCTCCTTTTCCACTTCTTCGCTTTTCCTCTGTATGTGCAGTGACTGAAATAAAGGGGAATCAAACAAGAAATTTTGTCTGTTGGAGAATGTTTATCTTTTGGGGTGTGGCACATTGTTCAAAATATTTGATCCAAAAAAAAACTCACCAATGCAGTACTGCGACGGGCCAAAAGTTTTACATCTTCTGCTGACACAGTGCATCTTTTTGCATGTCTGTAATCAGAGTTCAGCGGGTATTGAGGTGAACCAACAAAACCCCAGCTCACAATTATATGTTGAAAAAAAAATGCTTACTTTGCAAACGCTTCCAAGTCTTTAGCAAATATATCTGTAAGAGAACCAACAAAAAGCCTTTTGAGTCAACGTCGGTTTACATATAACAGATCGTGTGCTTTTGGTACACATGCGCAAGCTATTGCGATCCAGTTGAGGTTTTGCATCTGCAAACTATACCCTCAGTATTAGACAACTGTTAAATGATTCTAATTTTTGAATTGATGATTTTCAAAGGCAACTCAAAATGTTAAACATCCACATCATAATTTACCCTTTGGGAAGACGGTCAGTTTTTGTACATTTTTAAAAAAAACTAGACACTGGAAGCTATTAACTGTTTTAGGTAATTTTATTATTCTATATATTTTTTTACATTCTGGTAGCAGAACATCCCCCTTCTCATTTTGCAAATCAAACTAAGATGTACAGTATGTCAATGTTTTTTTTCTTTAACAAAGGAGGGTGTGATTAAGATAAAATACTTTATTGATCCTTGTAGGGGAAATTTACCACAGTACAGCAAAGCAGCAGATTGTTTAAAACAAACAAAACTGAAATTATGCATTATGAAGTTAGTCTTATTTTTAATCGTAGAAAAGACAAGATATTAAATATAAACACATGGATAGGAGATTTAGAGACTGGAGGATGAAGCAGAAATTATTCAGGAATTAATCCAAACTGCTAAAAATGTATCAATGTAAATTGTACTGTACAGTATTTAAAAACAGACATTATTATATATTTCCCAATAAATTCATGGGAGGTAGATTGTCTTACTTAGCTTCTGTCTGATTTTAAAAACGGGACATGTCATCTGCAGATATGGGTGTGGTGGGGGGTTGTTAAAGTGCATGTAAAATACGTCATTTCAGTATTATAACATGAATTGCCTGACTGTCACGATATCAAAGAGAAACCAACAATTTGCTGGCCAAAATTGTTTTTGTGTTGATGCTAAGTATGAAAAAAAGGTTTAATCAAAGTAACTCATTTGTTCATTCTTGTTTTTATCAAAACATTCAAACATGACTTGAGCAACTATGAAGCGTGTGTTCAGAAACTAAAACTGAGCATAGTATACTTAATCTCAATGGGGAAAACTACTTTCCAAGTATTTTCTCTTTAATTAAACATCTTTCTAGCAGTAGTTTTCGTAAAAGTAACCATCAGAGAGAAAGTGGACGAACGGAACGTCAGGAATTAGTCGGCACCCACCACATTGTCTGAAGGCTGTCTCGGTTATGGCTGCGACCACTTGTCGGCTAAAAGCTCTATGGTGCTCCTCGCCCACTTTGTGACACATTTGACCAACCGTGTAATGTAAGGCCGCCTTCAGTTGCTGAAATGGACAGTGCGTCATTAACATTTAACTTACAGTAGGTGTTAGCATTATCCATAAGTGTCACCGTGTTTGTTTACCTACCAGACGTGTTTCGTCCTCGCTCTCTGACATTTTTGTGTTGAATCGACTAATCTGAAAATAAGATATAGCTTAATTTGGCCCTCGACACAAACACAAAATGGTCATAAAACAGCAACCAAATGAGAGGCCATATAGCTTGTGTGATTTGTTTGTTTTTTTAGGGTGATAGTCGTTGGAAGGAACTTCGCGGCAGAACTTCAAGACAAACTAGTGATGTGTCGGTCGCGAACGAGCCGGTACAAAGAGCCGGCTCTCTCTCGCTCGCTCTCTCGCTCTCCCCCCACTCCCCCCTCCCCAAAGGAATTGACTTTCCCAGTTCCAACTCGTCCAGAGGATCATAAACACAACGACAAAGACCAACATGGTGAGACAGCACCTGATAAAGGTACCCAGAGAGTTGTATTTTTTCGGTGGGACTGTACTTGTAAAGGTGAGAGCCACTTCAGTCGAAGGTGTGTCATTCCTATTGGTCACCAGAAGACGGCGCCCTTACGTTTCGTAAAGATCTTGTCAACACAGTCGACGACGGGCGCGAGCCTCTTGGTAGTTTGCGGTCGAATTTTACAATGATTCTTACTGCTGTTAGTTGACATTGGAAAGCGAAATCGGGTTTATTGTTTCCCCTTGCCAATGGCGGGCCCTCTGCTGGAGTTTGAGACCGAAAGGTTTCTGACATGTTGATCGATATATAGTGAATACTTTGAGGGGGAAAAGTTATCGGGGCCCTCAGAAAGTCATCCGATGTTTCCTCCCCAATCTGAAACGAAGTTTGATTTCACCGCGATCCTTTGGGTTTTGCAGGTTCCTCAACCCCCGGCCCCGTTGGGACCAGCAGAGAGCACCCCGCAAGCATCCAGACGAGACTTGCGTCTCAACCATTCCAGCGGAGTTGCCCTGATCAACAAAGCATCTTGAAACAATGAATAAAGTGAGAAGGGTCCAGCTGCAGGCCCGGAGGAGGCCGATTCAGAGCAGGTAGGTTTAGGGAAGTAACTTTACGACGGATATGACGTCAGAAGGATGATGCCCGATTCCAAAGTAAGTCGCATGTGGATCTTAAAAAGTTTAAAAGGCCCTGTAATTGGAAGATAATTTAACAGCAAAATCAACTAAAAGTAAAACGGAGTTGTGTTATTTTAATGCACGACAACAACTACGACGGTAATATTGAGTCGACGAGCGTCAATTAAAACTTTATGCTAACTTTAATCCCGGTTACACTCACATTCTCTCGACCATAGAATATATAGCGCAAGTGAGGATGAAATGTTTCAGCACGCCTAGTTGTTTATAAATTGGATGATAATGTCAAAACGACATTGACATTAATAATTTAATTACGGATGAATATATGTATGTTTGTGAATGGGTAAATA